AAAAATAAGGAACCTCTTGTTTTTACTACATAATGGAATAATATGTAATGTAAGGTATAAAGTACGCTGTGTATATTGAATGACTCAGAGCGAGTTAGCGAGATTTATGTGTTTCTGTGCATGATAGTAACTGAACAGTGACTTTTATAATCAATATTTAGTAGTGATTTTTATAATTATACATGTATAGCATGGTTTCAAGAGAGCTTTAACGTGATTATAGCAAATTTTTTGTCAACTCTTTTTTTTCATAATTTTTCAAGGTCACCTTCAATTTATTGCAAATACATCTATAATTTTTTTACGCCTAACATATGTTATGTTACGATACTTACCGAATTCGTCTTGAAATCCTCTATCAGATATGCGTAAAAAAATAACTCCTAACTCTGAAACTTTGAAGGTTTTTGTTCTTAATGTTTGTATCACCAAATACTAACAACAATTAAAAACTTATGTTGATCATAAGATAAAATTTTATAGATGATATTATAGTGTGTTTGATTATTCCACTACTTTCATGCTTCTACAATATTAAACTTCGTAAACTTTAAACTCAGTTTTCTCAGTTTAAAAACTAGTGGACATAGAACACTTAAGAACTAGAGCGACTATTTTTCAAGTTTCATACTTAAATAATTAGTTTGTTGTCCACTGACAACTGCGGAAGTATAGTGTACGGAGACTTTTTTTGCACACCATACACCCGCAGTGATGAAATGATTTTTGTACACGTGTGTGTGTTTTCCGTGTACGGTTAAATGAACTCCAGGAAGCCAGAAAGTAACCGGAATTCTTCGAGTTACATACTCCGCTAACCGTGGGTCTGGTCCACGGAGACCGCAAGCCCGACCGCGGCTCTAATTAATACTCATTCGGCCTCTCTCTCCCGGGGTATTCATTCCCGTAATGACAGTGGTGAAACAAAAGTCGAGTTCGCGCTCCCCGTTCATTTTATTAGTGCCGGGGGCTGGTTAGGCTGGGGATTGTACGTAGAGCGTCGAAATGACGTCCGTTATAGAAATATATTGTATATTATGTAGAATTCACATGCCAAGAACGTGCGTCACTGACAACGTACGGTGAAGTGGTCATTAAATTTTTCATCGAGCATACAGGGTGTCTCAGCTAACTCGATCACCTCGAATAATGACTTAGTGGTGCACTTTATGAAAATTTTGAGCCGTGGAACTTAAATGGCACATCAAGGGGCACATTTTACAAGGTACGTGCTTTTTTTGTGGGTGGAGGCATTTCGTAGATTTCAAGGTCACCTTGATTTCTTTTAACGTAATGACCTATTTTTTGTACCAAAGATCGATAAAGTATGAAATTCTAAGTAAAAATTAGTCGCTATAACGATCGCCGAGAGTTTACTGTCTGACAGAACTCTCGCAATCGTATCCACTAGACTTTCGTGTGTAGTGACTAGAGATTCGTCCGTGCCCGTCTGTTCTGCAGTTTGTTTTGAACGAAATATGACGTGAGATAGTGATTATGGACGTGGAAAAACTGCCTGCTCTTGTTATTGGGTACAATATTATAAAATGAAGGAAAGAGAAACGCAGACATTATTCTTGCCGGACATTATGTTTCTCGCAGGAATACGAAATTGTTTTGTTCTTGGCGAGCGATTGTCGGATAAAATATTATTGACTGTCGCTAGTTGCTCTCGAGAGTACTTCTCGCGAGTGGATCGTTCAACTGTATGTCAACTGTCCGTGTGTTTGTTGTATGTCGTGACAGTACTCTCGAGCACAACTCGCGCGAGAAACTCTCAAATGGACGGCTGTCTTTACATCGTCCAGCCGCGGGCAGAGGCTTCGACGGTGCTTAGACACTGCGCTGTGATCACCGACGACGCAGTTAACCGTGCGTCGGTTGAACATGCGGGTAAAAACGGGGCCCCGCGAATCGTTACGGACAATAATTCTGATCCGTTCACGGTAACGTCGTCGTTAGACGGCTCGTCGCTGTACATGTCGGTTTATTGCTGGATCGCCGCGGTGCTCTTAACGCGCCGTGAAGCATCTTCATTTAATACTTATTGTAACGTCTCAGACGCATTCTCTATGAGGTTCTGTCGGCGACGAACGCGAACTGTTTACGGAGATCAGGTCTGGATTTAAATTTCTTGTGGCCCAGGGCTATTAAACCTTCGGGGACCCCCTTGGTTGAAAAGCGTTAGGGGAAGGGGGGGGGGTTTAAAAATTGAAATATATTCTAAGTAAAATTAAATATCAGTTTATCCTAACGAACGCTTGATTATAACGAACAATGCTTTGTTATATTTTAAATCTTAATCCGATTGTTTTCTACATTTAGTACAATTTTTAATTATTTCAAAAGGGAAACAGAAAACAAAATTTCATTCGATTATTTTTTGACATAAACGGCAGGCTTAGATCGGGGCCCCGATTAAATACTATCCTACATAATTAATGCAACCAAGAAACTATTTCACTTTTATACTTATACGTTACAAAGAAATTGAAAATAAAATAAATCATGTACTATTCAAACATATTTTAGCCAGTTCCGAGGAAACTTCGCGATTTTTTTTGTCGTTAAAGAGAAAGAGAGAGAGAGAGAGTTATAAATGGAGAGAGACAGAATGAGCACCCATCACTCAGAGGCAATTTGAATGATTCATGAGCGCGTGAGTAGAAAAAAAGAACGGTTTTCCATTTACAGCGATAGATCCGCGATTTTCATGTAGGGACTTGTCAATGATTCCTCGCAGCCCCGTTGTAAATCTGTACTGGACACGGCCGAAGGGGAGCGAAGTTTCGCCCGCAGGGATACCTTCATGATTTATGGAAGATGCGTCGAGGTACCTACCGCGTCGGAATTATTGCTAGGGCTCTGATACGTCTTCGTCGCAGTTGTCGTACTGATTGTAAGACGGTAGTATCTCGCCACGTCAAATAGTCTCGCTGGTCATTTGTCGGTTTGTGATCCGGTTGATACGCCGATCCACGAGTCATTCGAGATTTTCATACACGCTAACGGATTCGTTCGAGCGGAAATACAGAATGGGTACACACGAAATAGCTAATCACAGATTTTCTAACAATTTACTTTGTTCATGGAATATAATTTACCGCTTCAGTGTAGGCAAGAACTTTTCAGTTCAATGCATCATAATCTATTACATCAGTCAGGATTTATATTAGTGTAAACTGTAATTCTTAAAATTGACAAAAATAGGAATTATATGCTTCACTCATATCGTAGAAATGAAATTTTTACTTGACGAATTATAGATACATAAAATATTGTATAAAATATTTTAAACGAGCCGTGTTGTAGTTTGAACATTTATTTTCTGAGTGTAATCGGTCTATTTTACAATACTACAATATTATCAATACTAAAAATTTTGTAAATATCATCTTCTATTTGGCAGGAGTGTATCAGTTAGTTGTGTGAACTTGCTGGACACCGGTGACCTAATCGCAGATAACGTGTTGAGAATAATTTCGGAAGTAGAAGAAAAAATTGTTTCGTATAGGCCGAGGCGGAGTTTCACGCCTACGTTGAAATTGAGACTATAAAAGACTGGCGGCGCTTTTTCTTTTATTTTCATCTCAACGGTATAAACTCACCGAAGAACACCAAGCGTTGTGGGACAGCCGTAGACGATTTATGCGTGACAGTTTCCTCGGGTCCAGGCCGCTTGCCCGCGGGTTACTTAAGAATTTCTCTATCTTTATCGGACCTTTTCTCGAAAAAAAACACGATTCTACCGAACACTTCGAGTCATCGACAGAGATAACGTGGTTCCTTCGCTATGGGATTGCTTAATTTGTAGCCATAAGAAAAGTTGATACGGATTTTGTGACTCTGTTACCTTCTGATGAGATTGAAACGCCTACGTTGAGCACTCTACTGCTTTGTTCCTTTTTATGTCCTTTCTTAAGATAATGTGATTTTGTGCCAAGTTAACCGGAATGTTGGCCCACTGTAATGGTGAGAAGGATTTTATGTCATTTATTGTGTGATCTAAACCTTCTTTAACCCCCATTAAGTCCCAAGCAGTGAAACAAGTAGATTTTGGCGGTAAACTGTTGGCTGAAGAATGTGAAAAGGAAAGGAGAGGGAGAGGGAGCGTTTCGTCCTGGGCCTGCTAGTGGACTCGTCAGTAAGGCTTTCTAGCAGACCCTGCCCTAGACGCGGGGATATACGATGGTCGGTTAAGGACGTATATATACGAACGAGGAAGGCTTCAGGTAGTTGCGGGAAACGTGTCACAACTCGGTAGACCTCTGATGGCGAATGTAGGAAGTAGTGCCGCCACAAGATTTTTACGCATATAATTATTTGTTACTTATAAAAGTCTATAAAAAGAATATAAATGCTATAACAACAAATTGTGGGTCTAAAAAAGTTTACGAAAATTTGGGCAATAATGTATTGAAAAACGTAAATAAAATAATTTATATATTAGTTTGCCGACATATGAAAAATGCATTATAATACTAGATACCATATTATAGTAAGCAGAGTATTTGTTCAGAGATATCTTACTTTGTAATGCAGAATGTATTTACTTTTTACTGTGTCAGCTCACACGTGTAATTCCATCGTTTGTAAGAACAATTTTAGTAGGAATTCTGTAGTGGGTATAAAGAAAAACATTTTTAGTAAAAACTGGACACGTTAGATTGCTAGGTTACACATGTTTAATAGGAATTGTCGTGTTTTACACGGTAGATTAGTATTGGCAATATTTATAAGTGAAAGGAAGCAGGTTAAATGTTTTTCATGGTTTAGAAAGCTGCTAGAATTTTTAACAGTTCTTCTCGAATATATTCATCATAGAGATCAACACATATTAAATGTCATGTGAGAACGTTTCTTTAGAAATATCGTACATAATATTAGTAATATTTGTTTTTAATACTACAGCAAATTCAATTATATCGAATAATAAAATTGCAATAGATTAAATTTAACGACATCCATATCTAATACTATTTTTATTATTGCTGTTTCAGACTGGAGCCACAGCTTTGCAAAAGGCAGCATCAGAAGGCCATCTGGAGGTAGTCGAATTGTTGTTGAAACACGATGCAAACGTCGCACGACAGGATACCGTGGTGAGTTACATATTGATTTCTATTCTAGTAAATTACTTCTTATTATCATTCGACATCCATCAAGTGACATTAACATACCGCCCCATCATGTAACATTAATATCGTTAAACGCCTCAATATTACAGACATTTATTTACGTTACATTACGAAATGTTGTCCTGTGTGATGTAAACTTCACGGATTCTCCAAATCCTTAGATATTAATAAGTTGAAAATTTGTGTTATTAATAGCTTCTGTCGCATACAAGAGTAGGATTTATGGATATACATTTCTAGAAAAAATTATAATAGTCGTCCAAGCATCAAAATTGCACTGATACCAGTGCTGGTATGCTACGTTGACCGGAATGGCTGTATTTTTCATGGACGATGCGATCTAAAAGACACTCGCCGTGTCGGAACCGCTGGACGTTCGCCGCGGAAAAGCACACCTAGCACGCCAGAAACGCATAAACCCGTTTTTCTTCTCGCGGCGGGGGCAACTTTTACGCGGGGATATACTTATGTGCATTGATACGCGTATCTTCGTAATAAGAGCCCTGCGGCACGCAGCACGCGGTCCACGGGGAAAAAGTTGGAAGAGTGGGGGGTAGAAGAAGAAGAAGGGGCAGGAGAAATCGCTACCAGGAACGGGGCGAAGCCATGGCAATAATTTCGCGTTCTTTTATAAGAAATAATTTACTGGAATTTTTGCGGGGTCGCCCATTGGCACCGGTCCTTTATCACTTTCTCAATGCTGATCCCTCAGGAAGGGGGAGACTTGGATTTCATTCGTTTTGCGCGCCGCGTGGCGCTTACGTCGTTTCGTAATACTTGTGTGGTTCTTAACGAGAACACGGCACACGATATAAATCTGCGACTGTTTGACTTGATAGATGCGAATGTGGACGATGAATAAAACCGACTGAGACTACTACGACTGGCTATAAATCGAGCGAAGTAAATTGGGAAATCAAAGGACTTTACGTATTGTGTGCTTTTCGTGAGACCCTTCGATCGTGGTGTCGATATAATAGTCGAAGTAAATACTGGATTGTTAAAGGAGATTGTAGAAAAAAAGATATACAGGGTGGACCACTAAACGTGATCAGCTTAGATTATTCTACTGGTAGCTGTTCGTTCGAAAATTTTGTCGCGTGTTCAACACCATTTTGAACATCGTTTTAAGTAAGGTAAATCATATTTTCTTAATGTTTCTTGAGTTTAGAAGAAAAAAACCTTATTTGTCATGATGCTTGCTGAATTCGTCTCAATATCCGCTAATAACTGGACGTCAAAAAATAGGGTTATCATGTTTTATAATTCAACGAATTTTTATTGCATAACAGAAGATATTTCACTTCGAATAAGTAAATGATTATTTACATATGATTAAATAGAATAATCTATAATATAATTCTTCTAATTATGCCTCACGGCATTCTTTAGAAAATGATCAAATTTGTTGATCAAAATGTTTGCCTGAAATAAGTTCATGAATAATAAAGTTCGATGAAGAAGAGATAAAAATCATGTTCGGTCTTCTAATTAGAAGACCATGCGAATAGATCCTAAGAAAGTTACAATACATTCAATGTTTATCGTATTGATCGAACTTGCATTCCTATTTCAAAAAGTATTCAATTAGAATTATTTAACTGTCCTGTGAATTGCAATATTTCGTTGGTCACGAATAAAATTCCCCAGAATATCGAATGAACGCGGTAATGAAAGCGGACAGTCAGATAAGAATTAGTTAGAAATTCGAACAACAGACAAATCTCACATCACTCGTCGCGACACTAATAGTCAATAAACTACCAAGATTCCCCTTCTAAAACCTAGCTTGATGTATGCGTAATGCAAATTTATCGAATATAAATAACCAACAGCCAAAGATCGTGAAACAGGTTACATCAATCTGATGATTTTTATCACTGAATAGGGAATCTTTATATAAATTTCCACCTTCACAACCTGTTTTATGAAATTCTGAACAAAAGAAGAATTTAATCCGATAATTCAGAAGCTTATTAGGCTGAAAATATTGGATCGATGGGAACTAAACGGCCGATCTCTTTCTGCAATGTTAACTACAATTCTGTATAATTTCCATAGACGGTTCGAAACATCTTTCACCTGAATACATTTTAATTCTACAAATTCAACTCTTAATTATCTTTAACCTTAACGTTTTGAAGCAACCATTTATATCCCATCAGTCTAATAAAATAATAAACTCCATTAATCTTCATTAAATTCCATGTTTCCAGAGTATTTACATATTCCGTAAGTATACATACATATACAAAATCCACAGGCTATATATCACGCTCGGTTAATAATGGGTCTTGGTACCACAATTAGACCCTGGTAAGCAACTATGTCAATCGGGGTCCATCCATAACCAACGACCACGCTCGTATATCGGATGCAGTGCGATAATTGTTAAAGAACGGACTGTATCCTTGTGTTCAATCAACGCTCGGGCTACGGGGTCTCGTTAATATCACATGCAAATGGAATGCAGAGCCTTTCTTCGGCTGGTTCCATGTGTAGTAAACGGTACACGGACTGCGCTGGATAAAGTTGCACTTTCATCGATAATTATCTTATCCGCGAGAACGACAACGACGCACAGTGGTCCATTTCACGAATCTAGATGGACAAAAATATTTAGGCTTGATGTAGGGAATATTTTTATTTTTTTCTGTCATAATTTCTAACTAATAACTAAAGGAAGATAACAATAATTTAGAAATGAAGGAAGATACAAAGGTTTGATAGAAATAATGTGCTAAAACTGATTAGAAATCTACTGTATATACAATATATGTGCTGAAGGGGAATTTTTCTCGCATAACGCATTATACGCGGGTCTACTATGTACTATCTAAAATTTGCAATTTGCATAAACGTCCGTAGTCTATTCATGACTGTCTGAGAAAGTCGATTTTTCTATTTTCGTCCAGCTTAGATTCGTAAAATGGACCACTGTACGACGTCACAACTCCAAAGGTCGGAGTATATAGTCCGATCGATATGGACGCTATAATTATGTCGTAAAATATTTAATGGCTGTCATTACCGATATTGAATCACCTTTACCCAGAATCGCGTTAAGGAACACATTCGACGATCGCTTTTCGTCTCCCTCCCCCTTTCAGGTAAACACCGCCATTTTGAGCGGTAATTTCCTGAGCTGACGCATATACATACACACGCGAAATAAATGACACGAGGATCACGGTAGGCGTGTACGTACGGGCTTACATCTTAATGAGGAACGGCGATTGATCTTGAAATCCGCCGCGATCCATTGGGATCAGCTGCGAAGCACAGCTGATGTTTTCTTAAGGTGCTTCGTGACAAATTCGAAAGACTAGATAATTAAATAAAATCCATACAGAGTGTTTATTAAAACGAAATACACACTCGAAAAATTTGAGACTAGGTCAATCTATGAAATGAATAAGAAAAAGCTTGTCAAAAATTCAGTTTCTCACACAGCTCTTAGGGCAGTCTACGAATTCTTACCGGAAGTATAATCGTTTCTTTTCACAAAAACTAGAACTGTTAACCAAAATCTAGGTACTGAAAGTATAAATCCTGAGCTTTTTGATAATGAATTAAATCTTGTACCATAATATTTCACAATAAAGTCCAGGATGTGTCGGTAGTTGGATGGTTATTGCAACTATGTTGAGGACTTGGCTACGTTGCTGAAGTAGGTTCATAGTCGCGAAATTCAAATAAATATAACAAATATTTTACTTATTTTGTGTTTTAGTGAATTCTAATTTTCTAAATTATAATGCACGAGAATATAATAAACTTTACATAGAACAATATTGAATATTGACTATACTCACGAATAAATTCAACCAATATCTAATCAACGGACGAAGATCCTCGACGTACCCACCATCGATTTGGAATCGATTAATCGTGGTGCGCGCGGAATGAAGCCTCTTCGATTGATTATTATCGCGCCTGTAATGATACCTGGTATCGGTCGAATCGTTTAATGAACATCGGACACGTACTTACGCTGGGAGGCGCGGCCGTAATGCATGGTATTAACTGGCTGAAAATGTTTATCCCCCCTCCCCGTTCCCTTAAGTTTCGCGGAATTCGAGGGAGTACGCGTGTTAAGACGAATCTGTTATTTCAAGAAGATAGTTGCCGTATAAAGAAACGGGAAATTTATTATTTTCTACGGGGGATCGCGCACGGGCTGAGGCTTCGGATTTTTTTCGAGAAGTCGCGTAAACCATCTACCCATGTAAGAACGAGCGTACAGACATTTCTGTGTGAATTCAAGACGTGGATCTTTAAATTTGGTTAAGGGAATTTTTATTTTAGAATTTAAATTAGTGGTCAAATTCGATCAGGGTAATTTAAATACTGTTTGTTTATGTTTCATATTATATATGTATATATAAATGAGAAATGTTTATAGAGTATTCAGTATTCAGGTAAAGAATTTCGAATAATGAGTAAAAGATAAAAACATTGCTCGCCATTTTTGATCGATTAAACGTAATTAATTCGAAAAAATTATTTATGATTAAACATTTCTGTTAATATTGTTATTATCATTTATTTTTTATTATTCTATTATACTTGAATACTTAATACTAATACTAGTTTCGTTAACAACAATGATTTATTAAAATAAAAAGGTCTATATTATTGTTTTCATTATAAGATTATTTTTTTGTGTTGGAAATTATATCCCACGTATTATGAAGCATCCTGTATTTAATTAACCACGCTATTTAATTAACATAGTGTAGGATAATAAGGAATAGAATTTTTGAAGAATGTAACTGTTCCTGAGTAAAATTTTTAGAAGTCCTGTTATAATACCTATGCAACGTAGATTCTTAAAATATTCTATAAATATTCTACAGAAATATTTCTATCTTGATTTATAAGGAATGCAAACGTATGCACAGTAGCTATTTCAATGGCATAAATAAAACACAGTAAACCATAAACTGCACCATGAAAAGATA